TAAACGTCACAATTCATGAATTGAATAAATTGAAGTACTAGATGTAAAATTCATAATTATGTCACAATTAGACTGTTTATATCACCTTGTGATGAAACCAATCAGAGAATTCAGCTTCGCATTTCTCCATGACTTCTTCTCTACGCAGATAAGGTCGAGTATTAAGAATGTAGTCCTGAAACTTCCTATGAGATCAAAGACACGCGGTAAATCAACATTGTAATCATTTTAATTGTTCATAACTTTGAATACAATTCATTCCTAAACATATTATACCTTTCGTATTCACCAAGAATGCCGCTGTTTCGTAACACGAACAAATGAGCACACTCGAGTTCTTTTTCATCTAAAAACCGAGTTTTACCCTCATTTGACACACGACCGCTATCCACCGTGAACAACTCTGGTATTTCAGCGTTGTCCACTGTGGAGTCCACGTCGGCATTCACATTTCGACCGAGATCTCGTTTTTTTGTGTCAACTGACGCCTGAAAGTAGTTAGAGCAGAAGTTTGCTATCTCTTCGGTGAGATAAGCATTGCATATGGAACCTTCAACTCGAGCCTTATTCCCAATTTTTCGTTTCAAGTGATTGAGGAACCTGCAATTATAGTTATATAAATGTATAAACAAGTCATGACAATGAATGGGATGTAAAAAAGAGGATGTGAAAGGGTCTTTGATTTACCTTTCGAAGGGATACATCCATCTATATTGAACAGGACCACATAACTTGCCCTCATATGGCAAATGAATAAGTCCTAATCTAATTCAACCAAAAAAATTTTGGTGATATGAATGAATATGCAAAATTGGTTCTTTCTGACAACCTAGTATACAGTCGCACTCTAGCTGCTTCTCTAGCAATGACATCAAACTAACAAGAATATACAAGGCTTCAAAACATATGAGAATTACAGGCTAAAAAGAAAAGAAATGAAAAGAAGAAATTGGTATCAGATTTTGGAGTATTACTCACTAAACATTTTCATAATGTGAATCATCAATTCAGCATTATATTGAATTCAAACAACAAGAAAAACAACACCCGTACACCAATTCAAACAACAAGTAAACAACATCCGAACACCAATTCTAACAACAACAAGTAAACAATACCCCAATAATAACAACTCGAACATCAACTTCCAAAACTGATTTCATCCTAATTTCATCGAATTACCCCTAAAAAACTAATTTCACCCAATCTCAATTACATAAAATTACAAATAAATAAAATTTAAATTCAAACTAAAAATTAAATTGCTTTCTCATTTGATTTAAATTCAAAAATCCCTAAAATCCAACATATTAACTTCAATAATACAACAATGAAACCCCAAAATCTAAAATAAATTCAATTATCTAATTAAAATTCAAAAACCCTAAAATAAAAAAAAATAATTAAACAATTCCCTACCCAGCCCGACGGCCAATCCCCAGCCCAGCCCCGACAGCCACCCCCTCCCCCTGCACCACCACCGAAACCACCCTCCTTCTAGAGCCACATGAGCGCAATAGACCCCCGCCCCAGCCCCACCAATGAAACCGCCCAAAACTTGAAATCCCCAACCTGAAACCACCCTAACTCCCATCCTTTTCCCCACCCGAAATCCCCACCCCTTTCCCTGACCCAAAACCACCGTAGACTCGAAACCCCTACCCCTGAAACCATTCCCCCACCCCTAGAATTTTGTGAATTGGTGTTTTTCCTGTAAAATAAAATAAATAAACTACAATTCACAAATTAGCAACCAAAATTGACTCAATTATCAAACTAGACTCCAAAAAATACGTTAAATTCTTCGACTTTCTATAACCAATAGTTCAATTATCCAACTTCGAATAACCCTAAATTGAGTATATACTGACAATTAAATACACGATTAACACTAGATTGTCAAAATTAATATTAGATGATTAAAGAAAAAGAAGAATCTAACCTTAGAGACTGCTTCAATGGAGGAGAGAAAGCTCAGAAGCCCCTGCAATGGAGAATTTCGAGTACGCTTAAATGGAGGAGAGAGAGAGGAAGGAGTATAGTGAGAAACGCTTAAATGGAGGAGAGAGAGAGGAAGGAGTACAACGAGAAAGATATAAAGGAGTACAGAGAGAGTAAGGAGTACAGCGTGATTCGTTTTAATGGAGGAAAGAGAGTGGAGAGAGAGGCAGATGAGAGAGGAGGAAAGATCGAGGAATTGAAAGAGAAAGAAAGAAGAATATAAGGGGTTTTTTTTTCACAACAGTTTTCGCACCGGTTCGGAATGAACCGTTGCGATTTACTCACTTTTTGCACCGGTTTTGTTAGATACGGTGCGAAAAACATACTTTTCACACCGATATGATTAGAACCGGTGCGAAAACTCTTTCCCTCAATCCCGCCCATTTTTTTTTTGCACCGGTTTTTAAAAACCGGTGCACATTTGGCGGTGCCCATTTAAGTTTTTCTACTAGTGTTCCCTTTCTCTTTCTCGTTCTTCTGTCGCTCTCTCTCTTTCCCCTATTCTTTCTCGTTCTTTCCCTTTCACACAGCGGCACCGGTGAGACGCCGGTGGTTGCGGGGAAACGGCGGATGTGAAACTTCTCTTTCCCTTTCTCTTTCTCTTTCCCTTTCCCTTTCTCTATCTCTTTCCCTTTCTTTCCGTCGTTCTCTCTCTTCCCCCTATTCTTTCTGATTCGACAAAAAAGGAGATCTAAACTCGTTGTTTTTTAATTAAATACTTTTCGATGGAATAAAATTCTGTCGGAAATCAGAACTTCCGACGGAATATTCCGTTGGAGTATAGTTTTTAACGGAATATTCCGTCGAAATTATTGCAAGGGATATTCCATAGGTACGGCTAAATTCTGACGGATTAAAATTCATCGGTAATTTTGAATTTTTTGAAGAATTTGAGGTTCGTCGGAACGATTCCGTCAAAAATGGCCTTTTTCTAGTAGTGAGAATATGATTATCAAAAGCCCATGGCCTACCCTCAAGAACTTTGTTCTTATCATCCTCAGTGAAAAATTGGAACACAAACATGTTCGTTTAATTTCAATCATACGAATCACCACATTCGCATCTAATAATCGCCACAAATTCGTAATTACTCGTTTCATGGCTTCAAAGTTAAACGGTTTCTTCGTGAACAATTTCCCACAAGGGATAGTGCGATCCTAGGGTTCGCATCCCTACCTTCCTCCTCTAACTGTTCGCTCGTTATTATAGTCTCTTCATCCTTTGTTAATTTCAACTTCTCCCATTCTTTCGTTAACTGTTCCTCCATGATCAAAGGCGCAGTAGCACCAAGGGTGTTTGGTTAAAACTAAAGTGTAAATTGCACTAGCAGAATCAATCAACAACAGAGAAACGTAAGAAACCCTAGCAGGGACTTTGCGGGAACCCTACTTGAGGGACTTTTTAGAACACTAGGTTCATTTTTACTTGTTATTAGGTAGTTTTTCACAAAATCTGGATTTTATTAGGTAGTTTCTGACAAAATATCCTTTTTATTTTAAGGAATATATTTGATGGTAAATGAGCATATTAATCAAAATAATTGAAACACAAGCATGAGAATTATTGACTTATTGTTTTATTAAATCGTTTACCTCTTCAAATCTCTTCTTCCTTACAATCCATTCTAAGTGATGTACGTTGCAAGAAATCTAAAATGGATGAATTGAAGTATATTCTAACAAAATTATGGGTACACCTAGTATTGACAGGCGAAAAAGACAGTACGTAGAATGGTGGAAATCAAAGTCATGAGCGCTTATGTTGTGGTAGCTATAGCAGTATGGATGATGCATGAGCCAACTCTCGCAGCATCATATATAAGCTTCGACATATCGAAGGTGCTACAACAGCTACCTACTCGCAATTGTTGACTGATGTGCGTAACGAAGTGGAGGACAAAAACATTATATATGGCGGGCGCACCGATATACCAGTAATGGCCAAACCTTCAGAAGCAAAAAAGTATCTTTTTTATCGATTTTACGGCATCAGAGGGAAGGACAATCACAATTGCTGTGAAATTTTGTCATCTACTTGTGTATGTATCAATGTCTTATTAAATTGATTTAAAAAGAAAACCTACCATTACTAGTCTTATTAAAATCAAAATAGGACTAATCCGGTCGTTTACTTTTTTTTTCCAGAATAGATCTGATTGTTTAACATGCAGTTTACCACGTTTCTCGGTTTCTTCTACCATAGTATCATGCAGTTTCTTACGAAGTATTACGGAGTATAATATTTTTATTTTTTGACAGCGTCTTATGTATTACTCCCTTCGTCCCTATTATTTTGCTCTATTATTACAATATGAGTCAAACTTAGAAAACTTTGACTATAAATTCTCATTGTTTTACTAAGTAAAATTTAGTCATGTGAGATCTTGTTTTGTTCGTCTAATTGTAAATTTAATTAATATCGACATTTTATAATTTTTATGCATATTGAAAAGAAGATAAACGTTTTAACACGTGTCTTGAAAATCGTGCACAATCAAATGAGGCAAAAATAAAGGAATAGAGAGAGTATAATATAGTACTATATAATTTCCTTAAGTATAAAATGCGTGACAAATATTACCTGTTACACTTATTGGAGACATCAACATTATAGCTTGTATTAATCACAGTTACTTTATTGTATAGTTGATCTATATAGAACATATTTTAGCAATTATATACTATATGGAATATAATTACCAAAATATACTCCATCCGTTTCATCATTATCGCAATACTTTGACTTTTTCACTATTCATATGCTTATGCCATCCGTTTCATCATTATCGCACACTTTGACTTTTTCACTATTATATTACTTATCAATATATAAAAAAAAACATAAATTGTCATGTAAAATATAATTGGATTAGTCTTTATATATATTTTCATTAAAACAAGCTTTTATACTTCTTACTCCGTAATAATTTTAATGGTCAAAGTTGTGCAATGCCATATATGTCAATTAAAGTATTGCGATTATTATGTAAAGGAGGGAGTAATATATATGTATTATTCTATATGGAATATAAATAACTAAAATATAATTTTTTTTTGGGTGTCTAGCATGTCTTTGCATGAACTTTTCTCATGACCTCTATATAAAGAGATGATAAGTTGAACGTTAATTGCATCTCATTGCTTGTTCAGTACAACTTTCTCTAGTCATCTGCACATATATTCAAGCGACTTTCAGTTCGCAATTTCATTGGTAAGTCATCTTTAGTTAATGTATGAACTATTACGCAGTAATTAATTAATTAAGGTAATTTTATTTAATTTTATTTTGTATTGTGTGTTGATACCTTTTTTTTTTTTTTTTTTTTTCTTTTCTTTAGAACTTACTCCATTTCATATTACTTTCAATATAACACATTTTTAATTTTAAAGAAGAGATTTGATGGTAAATGAGCATATTAATCAAAATAATTGAAACACAAGCAAGATGAGGATTATATGTTACCAGTGTTAGAGCTATATTGATTTATTAATCGTTTATCTCCTCATATCTCTTCCTTATATTGCATTCTAAGTAGGTACATTGTAAATAATCTGAAACGGATGAAGTATATTCTAACAAAATTATGTGTATATCTAGTTTTGACAGGCGAAAAAGACAGTACGTAGAATGGTGGGAATAAAAAAATTCAAAATCGTGAGCGCTTATGTTGTGGTAGCTGTAGCAGTATGGATGGTGCTTGAACCAACTCTCGCAGCATCAGATTTTACCTTCGACATCGAAGGTGCTACAACAGATACCTACTCAAAATTGTTGACCGATGTGCGTAACAAAGTGAAGGATGATAAAATTGTATATGGCGGCCGCAAAGATATACCAGTAATGGCTGCACCTTCAGCAGCAAAAAAGTATCTTTTTGTCGATTTTACGGCATCAGAGGGAAGGACAATCACAATTGCTGTGAATTTAAGTAATGATTTTAATTTATATGTGATTGCTTATCTTGACAAAATTAATGGAAACTTTAGATCACATATATTTAAGGATCTTCCCCCTGATGTTCAAGAGGGTCTCTTTCGAGATGCGACAGGTGCAGCGAATCGTCTAATTATGAATTATGGAAGTAGTTATGCTGAGGTTGAGAAAAAGGCAGGTTCTAGAACCAAATTGGGATTGGGAAAAAAGCCACTAAGCAAATTCTTTGACAAAGTTTATGGGAAGCTCGTTGATAATGAGAATGAAGCTAAATTTATGCTCATTGTTATGCAAATGCTTTCCGAGGCAACTCGATTTGCATATATCGAGCAAATGATTGTGCAAAAATTTGAGAAAGAAATTAATGAATGTTATAAACCCGACTTAAAAACGATCGAATTAGAAAAGAGTTGGCAGAAGATCACTGTAGGAATTAAGAATTCTAACGGAGGTGTAATCTGTCCGCCGCTAAAGTTACAGGATCCTACGGGTAACCCTTGGATAGTGTCGAGTGTCAATGAAATTGCTGGAGACATGGGGCTTCTAAAGTACGAAGGCCCTCCTACGACCGCTAACAACCGAGTATCTCTAGCACTAGTCGTCAATAAATTACAAACGCATTACAACCAGTTCATTAGTTTTTTTTAAAGCCAACAATGGTGATGATGATTATGAGGCTGAACTGTGAAACTAACCTAAGGGTTTGCTAAAGTTTTATTGTGTATGACATTTGTTCATGATAAGTAGAAGTTGTGTGATCATGATGTTATTATGTTAATTAAGTGTAATAAGGCAACAATATGTTGCGTGTAATCCCCATTTCCTAAATGAAAACAAAATTTATTTTCATTTTAAGGACCGTCTCAAATAATTTTGTTGCATGCCTTTTATCATACTCGTAGTAAAAGTTTAAATTTTGTGGCTTCACATAGCTGAGACTTTGTTTATATATGGAACTTTTTGCTTGTCGGCACTAGAGCTGTTAATTCGAGTAAACGGGTCGGATTATTAGTGTGGGTCAGGTCAACTCTAGTTGGGTCAATTCGAGTTTATGTCGTAACCAAAGCGGGTTGGGTTCGGGTTGGGTCATGCTTTAGTCGGGTTACGTCGAGTCATACATCTTATTGGGTTTGGATCGGGTTAGGTCGAGTCAATAACAGGTTAGGAGTATGTAACTATATAACTAAATATTAATAAGGTGGTCTACATTGAATTTAAGGTGATTTGAAATCGTGTCAGGTCAACAACAGGTTAGGTTGAGTTCGAAATGTGTCAGGAACAAGTCAGGTTGAATTTGGTTCGGGTCAATAACAAGTTGGACTGATTTCGGGTTGGGTTATTAAGAACAAATCGGGTTGAATTTAGGTGGGTTAGTAATAGATCGAGTTGAATTCGGGTCGGGTTAGTAACAGGTCGGGTTAAATTCGGGTTTTGATGGTTAAAACAAGTTTGGGTCAATCTCGGTTCAGGTCAGGTTCCATTCAGGTCAATAATTTACGAGTTATATTCAGGTCGATCGGTTCATGTTCAGGTTTGGATCTCAAATACTCGGGTTAACTCGAATCTAGGGTTGGTTTCAAGTTGGGTCATATCAGATTCGGGTCACCATCTTTTTGGTTTCAAGTCACCACTTTTAATAAATATTCCATAACTCGAATCTATTTTCATCATAAAATTCGTTTTAAAAGTTCCTTAAAATAAGACTCACTTATAATACATCTAATTTAATTAAAAATATAATAGAGAGTCGGAAAAAAAAATAAAATAAAATAAAATTAATTGGTAAAATTAATTTTAGTTTGGTAAAAAAAAAAAATAATCCAGTTCACTAAAAATAATCTAAGTTTAATGAAAATAATTTAAGTCAATAATAACGTAGATATCCTTATAAACAAAGCTACAAAAAGTACACTATTATATAAATAAGCGATATGATATTGTATGTCTAAATATCTTGCATTATTAAGAGAAATTATATGGCCGTATTTGACATTCAAGTCAAAAATTTATCTTAAAGTTTTATCAACTATTAGGGAATCGCTCGGGCACAATAATAACCTACGAACTATAATAATAAGTCCTTTTCTTTTCACCGAACAAAAAAATAAAGTGTGTTTCGTGCATATGAAATTTATCATTTACTTTTTTTTTTTTTAGACAAAATTTTGTCATTTACTTGTGTATGTATCAATGTCTTATTAAATTGATTTAAAAAGAAAACCTACCATTACTAGTCTTATTAAAATCAAAATAGGACAAATCAAAATTAAAAAAATCAAAATAGGACAAATCCGGTCGTTTACTTTTTTTTTCCAGAATAGATCTGATTGTTTAACATGCAGTTTACCACGTTTCTCGGTTTCTTCTACCATAGTATCATGCAGTTTCTTACGAAGTACAGTATTACGGAGTATAATATTTTTATTTTTTGACAGCGTCTTACGTAGTACGTATAATATAGTACTTCGTACTATATAATTTCCTTAAGTATAACATGCGTGACAAATATTACCTGTTACACTTATTGGAGACATCAACATTATAGCTTGTATTAATCACAGTTACTTTATTGTATAGTTGATCTTTATAGAATATAATTGCTAAAATATACTCTATATGGAATATAATTACCAAAATATACTCCATCCGTTTCACCATTATCGCAATACTTTGACTTTTTCACTATTCATATGCTTATTTTGATTATGTTTTTTATTAATATATAAAAAAAACATATATTGTCATGTAAAATATTTTTGTATTAGTCTTTATATGTATTTTCATTAAATCAAGCTTTTATACTTCTTACTCTGTAATAATTTTTAATTACAAATATTAATGGTTGTTGAGTAATTAGGTTTTGATGATTGTAAACTAATGATGATTATCTATCTAACGTGTTTGTTAAGTTGTGCATAGATAGAACAGTACAAGTTATGCTTGGAACAGGGTACAAAGAACCGAGCAATGACAAAGTATATATATAAGGAACCTGAGCAATATATGATAAGCAATAGAAGGAACAAGAGCAATGATGAGTGATGATTGATAAGCATGATGATGGTTAAGGAACCATGAAGGTAACTATGTAAATAGGTGTGAGCATATGTTAGCTTCATGAGGTAAGTATCCTATACATACATGGGTCATGTATGTGTAGGAGTCTTTTAATTTAGTTTAGTTTTTCTAGTTTGCTTTTAGGTTAGCTCTAGTTTAGTTTGGTTTTGTTTTAGTTTTCTTTCTGATTTTTAAAAATATAAAAATACAAAAATACGTGGCTTTAAGTTTAATTAGTTCTCTCACTTGAAGTTTGTTTATGACAAAAATACAGGTATACACAAGGAGCTTCCTAACCGAAGCATGACAGCAAGCTTAGTGAAGCTTGGTCTACGAGTTCCAGCGTAATGCTGGAGAACAGTCACAGCATGTTCCAGAAGTGGAACGTTGCCCCGAGATCCAGAATACATCAAGACTACAGTACAGGATTCTAGAACAAGAGTTTCAAAGAAGCAACATGAAGATGGAGAAATAGAAGAAAATTGCTCTAGGATTCATGTAAGTATGTTGGACATAAAAGTCGGTCTGGAAGAAGTCTATGGAATCAAGGTGAACTTCAGACAGTCAATGAAATTAGAGTTACTGACTTGTCAGAGACTGTCAGAGTTCTGAACCTATTAGGAAATTAAGTATGCACGTCTTTAAAAGTTGGTTTTAATGATATATATTTACCTAATACATGCATATCTTTTAGGGATTTGGTTTTACTGAATAAAGATATTTATTTTCTAATAAATTCCTTTTGGAAAAAGATAAGTTTGTTTAGAAAGTATTTTAAACAAAAAGATAAGTTTTGAATAAAATCTGATTTTGTGTTAATTATATCTTTTTATTATTGACAGATGTTATTCTTAACAAAAAGATATATTTTTGGAAAACTTATTTTTAGAAAATATCTTTTGATAAAACCTATCTTTTCAATATGAAATGAATAATTCGAGTGTACTATAAATATGCTCATATGTATTCATTCAAAGTTGAGGCTAACGAAGTGAAGTGGTCGTGCTTACCCACGAAGCTAAGTCAGTCCTCCTGGTCAAAGTTCCTATCAGGTTTTGGTTTTAGTACGTCTAGTGAGTTCCAGACAGATCTCGAGTGTCTAACATATTAGTTTTATCTCTTTATTCATAGATATGTATTTAGAGTTATTCAAGGAGATCTTGTATTGAAAAAAAGGGTTTGAGTGTTTTGGGTATTGGGGTGTGACTTTGAATTCTCTAAAATTCGATTGTAGCTATGAGTTTGAATTCTCTAAAATTCGTGTTGTAGCTATGAGTTTGAATTCTCTAAAATTTGTGTGGTAGCTATGAGTGCACAGTGTGTGAGCTTCTAGTGTGAAGCCAAGTGTAGGCACTCTGGGAGTGCTGAATGAACCTAAGTATGGGACTTAGGTTGGGTAGGATAGGGTCCTATCAAGTAGCAAGTGTTTAGGTAGGAACTTGTGAGTGTAGCAAGTTGCCGTGGAGGAACTTGTGAGAAAGGTCTGTGTGTAATAGGATGTAGCTAGGAGTTTTGCCCTATTATAGTGAAGTGTTTGTGTTGAAAATCCCTTGGAGGGTCGAGGTTTTACTTCCAGTTGGGCCCTGGAAGGCTTCCTTGTAAAATCCTCTTTGCATTGTTTAAGTTTCTAACTTTAACTGTTTTATATTCCACGAAAATTAGGCACTAAGAACTTACTACTTGTAGTATATCATCCAAATAACAATTGGTATCAGATCCAGTGCTCTTGATAAACCGGGCAACCCTGAGGAGTAAGTTCCAAGCTAGGATGGATATATACAAGGAATGCAGCGGTTTATCAAGAGCACTGAAAACCAAAATCTGCTTGTGAAGCAGAAGTGATTCAGAGATGAGCATCTTAGAGGTAAGTGTCTCGTTTTGAAGTCTTTGCTATATGCATATTATAATGTGTACAAGTTCCTTGCAGTATTTCTAGTGGAACTATTGATTTTACTTTTGAAGTTTTTAAATCAACTTTGTGAAACCTCAAATCTAATTTAGAGTGTATTTGAAAAGCATTTTTCAAATTTACAAATTGATTTATTATTAACGGATCAGTTTACTAGAAATAGTTCAAGGAACTTATTGTGTATGATTATGCATAGTTGGTCTCTTGGAACCTAGATTACCCCTGAATGGGAACTTAATTCTTTAGGCAAGGTAATGAACGTATATTTTGAATTTTTGCCAAAGAATGATCATATCATGTGTCTTTATTATTCTGAATATTTATTATGTAGACACATGATGTTTATTGTTAGTAAAGATAGTTGGTTTAACCGTAGTTGTTTTAATTATGGATTATTGACGACTATTAATAACAAGAAGGAACCCAATATATATTGGGTAACCAAAGCTAAAAGGTGACTGATTTTGCAGGCTATGTGAGTGGAGACAACCTATTAATAACGATGATACTTTGGTTGTTTGTATATAAGGAATCATGTGCAAGTTCCTCTCACTGGAGAGCCTTTGTAAGAGGTTTGTAGTTGGTGAAACGATATGATGGATAAATGTGTAAGTCGCTTATACATCCCTCTGTAAATCTATCACTTATATTTGGTATCTATTAATCCTTTTTACAAATTCCTATTGAACTTCAATTCCACATTTTCATGAAGGTTTATTTGTGAATTATTTGTGAATGGATGAACAGTAGAGAAGTTGTATTGAATTTTATAATGTATAACATGACAAACTAACTTCTCTTCTAGTTTTGTGCTGGTTATTAATGATGGTTTTGTAGGTCTAATCATCGAGATAGATAAGTGCATAAAAGATTGTTCCTTCAAGGAACTAGGTACTTAAACTAGTTTGAACTTGGAATAATAAAACGAATTAGGGATACAGGAAAAACAAGCTTCTATATCAAGGTTCTATAGGAGTTAACGTATAAGTTCCTGTTAAGCTTCTTGTTCAAGTTCCAGTCAAGTTCCTATTAATCAAAGTTCCTTGGAACAAAGCATAAATTTCTATAATATTTCCTTACGAAGAATGATGAAGATTATCTTTGACTAAATGTTGAAGATTCATAATTTCGTTTATGGAACGACATCTTAAAGGGAGTATTTCTTACAGAAACTCTATGCTCCAATACTTTTATGCTTTAGGTTTTATCTATCTCTTTTGACTAACCTAGTGACCTTTTGAATGCACAAAAGAATTCTCTTGGGAATTGATTTTAAGGTTATATCTTTCGAATGAATATATGAGGAACTTTGACAAGGTGTTGAAGAAGCTGAGATTAAATCAACACGTTCCTCGACCTAAGATACAATGGTCGAAAAGGACCAGAAGAACATGTTCCAACTTGATATCAATAGGAACATGGAAAGTTGAAGGTTCATGGTAGGAGGGAACTCGTAGTATCTCGACAGTGAGGTTCCAAAGGGATGATGACAGTCAAATCAGCAAGATATCTCTTGCTATAAACCTACAATGGAAGAACTTTAACTTATAACACTAACACAAAAGGTAAAATTGCTGCATAACAGGAAGTTATTAAGTCAAGTTTCTATCCCATTGTGAATATTTTTCTTGTCGAGTCTTTGATGCACATTCTGGTTTTTAAATGCTTGTAACTCTAGATGTTTTATGGATTTAAGATGATATTCTAGTATAGAATGCTATCCCAGTTCCTTCTTAAAAATTGAATTTAAAACTGTCAATATTTGTTTTCAAGATGGACTAAGTTATTAGTTTATATTTCTGGTACAACTAATGAGCCATTGTGCATTGGATTTTGGTGATTCTATGATGAGAAAATGTATTTGTAAGCATTAACCACTGACAATGGAACTTGAGTTAGAAGTGAAAGTTCATATTAGATTCGAGATCTTCAAGGAACAGAACAACCACTTCAAGAACTTCCAAGTAAGCCATCATATTCAACCAATGATTTAAAGTTAAATCCTTACATGGTAAAAGGCTACATAAGATATAAGTTCCTTTTCACATTTTGGCATTATATGAATTGAATTGATATATTTTTGGTATGAATGCAATATGTGAATTTGTGAATTGACTCTCTTATGGTTTGGCTTGACTTGTCATACTCTTGTATATTGCTTAATGGAACAAGACGTGATGAAACATAACATGAGTATAAAGTATTTTTCCCTCAAGTTATGTCAAGTTGGGGTTCCTATGTATGCATGTTAAAATTGAAGTAAAGTATGTGCGCTTATTATTAATGTGTCACACTTAGTTCTTGTGTTGTAAAAGACATACTCACTAGCCTAAGAGTGTTAAAGGTCTCATAATAGAACCATGGGTGATGTCAAACACAAAGTTCCTAAGTTGCCAAAGGAACAATGGAAGAAACTTTGATGGAACAAGACAGGTAAGTTCCCAGACCGATTGTACTTCACTTGTTTAAATTTTAGAGGGAATTAACCTATGTTTTTGCCAACTTTCAAGCATCCACACCATATATCTTCGAATGCAACATTATTTTATAACTCTAAGTTGTGTGTCCGTGTTGCATGTACTTTAACCGTTTCATGTTTTTTAGAAAATCGAAGACTCTTACTCACCCAATTTCCTCTTTCCGTTCATACTCTTTTACTTCTTGTTCTTACTTTCCTTGTGCTCTAAGTTATATTTCTTCACCTTTTGTGGTTCAATGAAACATGAAGAAGGGTGAATATAAGTTGAGGGGGAAGTTGAAGAAAAAGGAAGAAGTAAGTGTTCGAAAAGGAAAAAGAATGGTAAAGGAACTTAGGGGGAATAAGTTAGGAACCAAGAAATCAAGATGGTTCTGGTTGTGGAACTCAAGTGTATGAGTAAGTATTATCTTCATTGATTACAAAGGTTTTATTCTAGGAATGCATAATCTATGAAATGACACTCTTTTTTTTTTTATAAAAAAAAAAAAAAAAAAAAAAAAAAAAAAAAAATAGGTGATCAAATATTTAATTTCCTAGATATCTATATATTAAGATTATTGACTGTTTTGATGTCGTGTACTCGTACACTTGGTAAGCTAGTGAAGGAATAACAATAAACGTTGAAGGAACTTGACTATGAAGCTGAAATCTATTTAAGTTCCAATGAACAGAATGTTCCTCAAAGAAGTTGGTGGTTGTAGTAAGGGAACTTGGTAATCAATTAGCAAGATGAAAATGTGTTGTGTTTTGCAGGAGGTCCAAGAGTATGAAATGAAGAATGAATTTAGTGAACCTCATCTCAAAAGGTCTAAACGAATAGTACAATTTCTACTTCATGTTCCCTCTACACATTTTGTCCCATATGTTTATTTATATATCCTTTGAGCTTGCACTTTCATTTGCCTATTCATGCAATCCATTTCTAACTTTGAGCTCTGATCTTTACTTGATTTTAACTTCTTATTTGTCAAGTTCAATTAAGGGTTTTGAAGTTGGGCCTTTGGATTGTGAGTTGGAAATTAGTGTGAAAATGGTATCCGTGTTTGAAAAGTGAGTACCTTGAGGCTTTTAGGAACAACAAGTGTTTAACCATTATATATTTACTTATTATATGGTGGTAGGTGTGACATATGACTTTACGCGTGTGTAATTTACGAAAAACAAACATGTGGAACAATACCCTTTTTGATAATGACAAAAGGGGGAAGAATATGTATGATGCTTATGGTATGCAGTAGTTAAGTCTAAAGTTCTTATGCATCATGATCTTTGATAGTATATATTGAAAATGATGTGTATTGCTAGTTTCTTATTATGTGAAGTTCCTTTATATGTTCCTAACTTGTTTTAATGTTATTTCCTTGAAGAATTAGGCCAGGGGAAATAAATGTACAACGATTTGTCCTTTAATGTGTGATAAGCATCATTAGTTTGTCATCATCAAAAAGGGGGAAATTGTTGAGTACTTAGGTTTTGATGTTTGTAAATTAATGATGATATCTATTTAACGTGTTTGTTAAGTTGTGCATAGATAGAACAAGTTATGCTTGGAACAAGGTACAAGGAATGAGAATTATATGGTTTCCAAAAAAAAAAAAAAATTATATGTTACCAGTGAATTATATTGATTTATTAAATCGTTTACCTCCTCAAATCTCTTCCTAATTAGGTACGTTGCAAGTAATCTGAAATGGATGAAGTATATCCTAATAAAATTATGTGTATATCTACACTACTACATAACTAACCTTAAGTAACACCCAAAAAGTGTTACATAAAGTGGTAAAAGTGTTATTATAGACAATAGGTAACACTTTAGTGGGTGATACATCCGCCCATGTTACCTAAGGTCTTATGTAACACTTTGGGTAGCGTATGGTAACACTTTTAAAAGTGTTACTATAAACCCTCTTATGTAACACTTTTTTATACTATTAGTATCATTTTTAAAGTGTTACTTTTTATTTCTTATGTATCACTTACTCATTTTTAGTAACATTTTTCAATATTACAGTAACACTTTATCCGACATTATGTATCACTTTTGCGAACTAATGTAACACTTTGTTGATTATAAGGTAACATTTTTTAATCATCTTTTGACGTATAGTATCACTATATTCGACATTATGTATCACTTTTTGCAAATTAATGTAACACCTTATTAATTAATTAGGTAACATTTTTTTATTATATTTTTTTTGTGCCACATATTATTATTATCAAAACCAGCTTAGGGCACCAGTTTTGAACCAGTGCCTTTTTGGGGGTTGCCCATGACAGAGGTTATGGACACCGGTTCAAGGGTCTTTAAGGGCACCAGTTTTCCCCTTAATCTGATGCCCTTTATGCCTAAAAAAAAATCGATAAACAAACTTAGATATTTTTATTAATAAATGCTTGTAGTGTAACAATTTCATCAAAAAAATATAAAATATAAATAAACTACAATGCTTAAGGCTAGGTAGCAGTAAAGCACAACATAAGTAGCAACAGTGCTGAACTAGGCCATGATCATTCACAGTCTCCTCAGCACCTTCCTCTGCTGCCTCCCTTTTTGCGAGTACTGGCTGTTGGGATGGGAGTCACATCCTCAGTACAAAGTTCGTCAAATAAAATGGAAATGCTAAGCATACTTAAACAAAAAGTTCATTAATTATTCACAACAATCTCAGTTATGAAAATCTACAATTATCCATAGTATAAGAGTTTGTAAGTTCACTATAATCTCAGTTAAAGTTCAGAATGACAACAATTAAGAATGAAAAATTTTCACCTTTATAGCTTCACAAGTTTTGTTAGTAGGTTGGATAAAGTGTACTGGATATAGGGTGGTTGTGTCCTGCAAAAAAAAAAAAAAAAAAAAAAAAAAAAAAAGAAAAAGGAAATTAAGTTAGAAGCCCAATTAAAGGATGAAAAAGTATAAAACATAACACCTTGACCAAGTCATTTACTCTAATTATGAACAAATGTTATTGCTGATATAATGCCAGATATAAGAGGCAAGATGAATTCTAATATACCCTATCAAGATTATAATTTCTAAATTGATCAATGGATAGTCCAGAAACTGATTTAAAAGGAAGAGACTCAGGTTCAAGAACCACGTGACAAGCATTGATTGAGATCATACTTCACGCCACTCTTTCGCAAGCCCCTGTTGTTCGTGTGCTTAATAGCCATTGTTGAAGAGCTTAGATAATCATTTAAGGGAGAAAGTGAGAGATAGAGGTGAGTGGATTGAGAATAATCAAGGGAATATACTATAGAAAAGCCCATAAAACTTCAGAGTTCAGAAACCCATATGTTAATGTGAAATAATAGATTCTAAACCTAGCCTCTGAACCAAGCCCGGCCAGACATAACATTGATCCAGCAACCAACATACACCTCACAACCGACATTCAACAACCATTTATCCTAAATCAGTTTCTGTATAGAATCAATACAAGCTTACACATGCATAAATTAAATTACATAAATCATGGCTTCTAAATCAAATTTATAAAATCTACAAAATCTGAAATTTAACAATTGATTTGACTTAACAGGCTTCTCATCTATTGGCAAAGAATATTGTTGTGTTCAACAGCAGCAGGCAAAACATTTTAGATTCTAATTTAACAAATATGTGGCTAGTGCTTTCTTAGAACATTTATGCACAAGCATGCAAATTTGATGACTAATACAACACACACTCAAAAGAATACATAAGTTCTTCATAATGCATAATGCATAAATGAAAAAAATAGCACTAAACATAAGCTATCTCGCAGAGATACATCACTACCATTGACAATATCAATAAAGCGTTAAAATCAATACTATAATATCAATACAATTACTACAATACACTTTGAACAAAAATCGAGCTCTTAAATAAGTGTAAAAAGACTTGAACTAGTAAATAAAAGTAAGCAAATTTAGAAATAGGAGGGGCAAAACAAAAGCACCTTAATGATTGGTTCTTCACTGGAATAATAATTGTCCATCAAAAGGACACGAAGAGCAGCAAGTTGCTTCTTCAGTTCGTCTCATAAAACAAGTAAATGATACATAATAGCTCCTTCTTATTCTCATCTAGTCATCTTTCCCCAAAACCCATATCAATAGTCATATATAATCCACTTTTTAGCATTTCCGAAACCAAATTCAATCAAAATTTCACAACATCATCACATCATTTCGTAGTAGTATTATGATAATATCAAGAATGCATCCACTCAAGTTCCAAATATTCAACATTCTTAAACAATTTCATCTATAACACTCAAAATTCTATAAATTAAAATTAAAAAATTAAAAAAAAAAAAAAAAAAAAAAAAACAATTTCAAGCTTGATTGCGCTACGCAATGTAAAAAATCAAAGCACAAACAACATTTAATTATGAAAATACGCAAACATATTACAAATCAGGTTAATTTCGAAAATGCGAATTACAGAACAATAAATCAAATACTCCAAAAATTATCAAATTTCAAATGCAATTAGAACAGGAGAAGAAATCTAACCGATAAAATTCGATGGATTTGAGCTCACTAGAAGAAATCATGTTGTTTAGACAATATTTTTGCTAATATTGTGGAAATTGAAGAGTGAGAATGAAAATTGGGATCTGTTGAGTGAAAATTGAGGAGAGAGGGAGGGATTTCCGGCAGCAGCAGTAGCTGCATCATACGAAGACGGCGTTTTCAATGGCTCGTCGTCCCTTCTTCGCCGCCGAATTGATCTCGTCAGCTGTATTTTTGGTTGTTTTCTTGCGGTTTGATAGTTCGATTGAGTCGAAGCTAGGGTTTGGGTTTGGTTGTTGAGTTCTTGTTAAGAAGCTAGAGTTTGGTGAGGAGTAAGGATCTAACAATTGGGGTAAAATTTCAGAGAGATTTTGAGCCTTTCCATTGATGAAGAAGATGGAAAGTGTGAATCGCAGAGATGGATGGAGAAAAGAGGGAAAAGTGAAAGAGAGGAGAGAGAGAGAGAGTTAGGCAATTCAAGGGTCCTTTTTTTTTTTTTTTTTTTTTTTTTTTTTTTTTTGACAAATACATGAAAGTGTTACTCTATGTAAAGTGTTACTTTGAAGTGTTACATACAAGTGCTACCTATTATCTAAGTGTTACAAAAGTGCTACCTAAATATCTATTTATATCTTGACTTATAAAGTGTTACCACAAGGTGTTACATTAGGCCAACTTTGTAGTAGTGCTAGTTTTGACACAGTACGTAGAATGGTGGGAATCAAACTCATGTGCGCTTATGTTGTGGTAGCTATAGCAATATGGATGGTGCTTGAACCAACTCTCGCAGCATCAGATTTAACCTTCGACATCGAAGGTGCTACAGCAGATACCTACTCACAATTGTTGACCGATGTGCGTAACAAAGTGAAGGATGATAAATTTGTATATGGCGGCCGCAAAGATATACCAGTAATGGCTGCACCTTCAGCAGCAAAAAAGTATCTTTTTGTCGATTTTACGGCATCAGAGGGAAGGACAATCACAATTGCTGTGAATTTAAGTAAATATTTTAATTTATATGTGATTGCTTATCTTGACAAAACTAATGGAAACTTTAGATCACATATTTTTAAGGATCTTCCCAACGATGTTAAAACGAAATCTCTTTCCAGAGGCAAAAGGTAAAGCTAATCGTCTAGTTATGAATTATAAAAGTACATATGCTGAGGTTGAGAGTAAAGCAGGTTCTAGAGCCAATTTGGGATTGGGAAAACAGCCACTAAAAATATTCCTTAACAATTGTTTATGGGAAGCCCGTTGTTGATACGTGTGAAGCTCGATTTATGCTCGTTATTATGCAAATGCTTTCCGTGGCAACACGATTTGCATTTATCGAGCAAATGATTGTGCGAAAATTTGAGAAAAAAATTGAAGAATGTTATAAACCCGACTTTAAAACGATCGAATTAGAAGCGAGTTGGCAGAAGATCACTGTAGGAATTAAGAATTCTAAGGGAGGTGTAGTCTCGCCGCCGCTAAATTTAAGGTGTCCTAACAATGAGCCTTGGATAGTGTCCAGTGTCGATAAAATTGCTAAAGACATGGGGCTTCTAATGTACGAAGGCGCTACTACGACCGATAACAACCGAGTATCTCTAGCACTTGTCATCAATAAACTACAAAGGCATTTCAACTAGTTCATGACTTTTTTTAAAGCCAACAATGGTGATGATGATTATGAGGCTGAACTGTGAAACTAGCCTAAGGATTTGCTAAAGTTTTATTGTGTATGACATTCGTTCATGCATGCTGAGTAGAAGTTGTGTGATCATGATGTTATTGTGTTAATTAAGTGTAATAAGGCAACAATATGTTGAGTATGTATTGCGTGTAATCCCCATTTCCTAAATAAAAACAAAATTTAATGACCATCTCAAATAATTTTGTTGCCTTTTATAATAGTAAGAGTTTAGTTTTGTGGCTTCTCATAGCTGAGACTTCTATTTTACTAATACTAAAACAAAACGTTGTTGACATCATCAAGCCCCTCCCTATCCTATGTGTCGCTTCCTCATAAAAAAATTTCCCGCCAATTAAATGTATGATATCATTATTGATTTTTTTTATTTTTTAAAAAAATCTGATTTACAATTTTATAGATAAGCTCAATCATTGTTTAACTGATTTTATGGATAATGTCAATCTTTGATTTCTTCAAAATACTCATTTGATTATGGAATAAATAAATTAAGAGAAAGAGAAAAAAAAAGTAAAAATTTATAATCCTGCTATTACTTATTTCATATACTACCTCCGTTAAATATTAGTTGCAATTTTGGAATATTTTATATCTCACAATAATACACCAAAGTTGCAACTAATATTTAACGGAGGTAGTTATATAAATTACTTATCATCATTGATAGAGTATATAAACCGATCTTGGGCTTCAACCATTAGTTTAAGTTTTTGATTGAGTTGGTCCTTTAACATGATATCAAGAGCTAGCATGATACAATGGTCACGAGTTCAAATCTCATCTCCCCTCCTTTCAAAGTGGAATATTAAGCATTGGGTATGGTAGGGCCCATGCTACATCTACACTTCAAGCCCAATGGGCTTTCATGTGAGGGGCGTGATAGAGTATATAAACCGATCTTGGGCTGAAAATTTTTGTCTACACCCCGAAGTAGGCAGAGATGCCTTCACCCCCACTTCTTCCTAATGACGTCATCTTGGTTGTTTTTTTCCGTTCTGAATTACCTATAAAATGTTCATTTTCATCACTATAAATGTTCACTTTTGTATTATTAAATGTTCATTTATGTAGACTAATTATTAAATGTTCAATTATGCTAATACAACATGAAATATTTAAATTATTGTAGTTTTGTATTTGTGTTTCTAGATGACTATTTATAGTAGTACTCAAGGACAAAGAAAAAGTTCATTTCCTTCTCAATAAAATCAAAATGAAATTGTATACCACCAAAAATTGAACAAATGGATATTAAACGATACAATACAATTCCACATATATTATCAAACACAATAAATTTCTCGATCCAAATTCGAAAAATTCAAGCTTGTGTTATTGGTTCATGTTACAGCGACTTCATGCCTTCTTGGTTTCCATCTTTTTGTCATCTTCCTTTTTTTCCTTGCTATTGTGTGGTCTAACTCACTATGTGCACGATTCTTATTTAACTAAAAAAAAACTGTATTAGATTTGAGCAAGAATAAATGTTGTAAATGAACCAATTTTCATATGTATATAAACATGGATAAGTATAAAAATTGACAAGATTGATATGAAAATTAACATCTATCTGTATATAAATGAATATATATTAATATATAAATGAAAATATATAGTGGAAATGATCATCTATTAATATGAAAATGAACAACCATCAATACATGAATGAACATATTTACGTAATTCAATATGAATATGAATATAAAGGAACATATATTAGTTTGAAAATGACCATAAAAGATAATGATCAATGTACATATACATATACATAAAATATATACATAAATAAACATTCTTGAAGCTATCAATATGTGATTGACTATACATCCATATGAGAAAAGACGTATATTGAAATTCAAAATTAAAATGAACCTGGAATATTTGAAGAAAATGACAAAATCATGAACATTTATTCAAAATTTTATATGTTAATACGTCAAATTGTGAATGGCCATATACTATTATGTGATTAAACATCTACCAAAATAAAAATAAACATTTATCAATATATTTTTCCACTCCAAACTATGATATGACAGTATACTAATATGTAAATGAACGTTTATCAAAATGGAAATGAACATGCATTAAAAAATATATATATAAACTCACTACGAACCAAATTTATAAATACTTATATTCCTCCACAATCTTTGTTTTTCTTCTCTGAAAGTGTTTTCTTTATTCTGCAAAAAAAAAATTAAAAAATAAAATAAAAAATAAATTAAAGAATGTATTGGTTTAATTTACTAGTTTTAGAACAAAAATTACTAAAATGTACTATAGTATTATACTTATTACGTTGATACAATTTCCATGGTTGATGTTTCGATTATGTTCTCGAAATACAATCGATCGCAACAAAAAAATAGTAAAACCTAGAGTTTATACTCCTTTTTTGTTCCAAACTTGAAGAAAATAACTTACTCTTTTCGAATTTCGCCTTTGTTTTGTTGAATTTCGAAGTGATTGAACAATTTCTTATGATAATTTTGTAATAATTTTGTCATTAAAGTTTTTTATTATGAGAGAGAAAATGGTTGAGAAATGGGTGAGAATAGAGAAAATGGCTGAGAAATGGGTGAGGAGAGAGAAAATGCAAATGGAGGTTTTGTTTTAATTTTTTTTTTTTTTTTAAAAAATATATATATGGAGTAAAAGCAATTAGTGTGCAGTATATATGGAGGTAAAGGGGTTAAACGTAGCGTTTTGATGGGGGGTGTAGGTAAAGCTCCCTACCCTAGAGTGTAGGGATAGATAATTAATCCTAGGCTTCAACAATTAGCTTAACCTTTTGGTTAATTTGGTCTTTTAACAATCATCATGCAACGCGTGGATACTAATCAAGTTGTTTATGTATGAAAATATTTGCTTAATCGGCACTCTAACATTTTGGCGTTGTATAACACATCACACACAATTAGGGGTGTGCAAAAAAGGACCGAGACTGGAAACCGGACTGGGACCGGGACCGGACCGGACCGTTGGATTCCGGGTCGATCTTCGGTCCTCACAAATTGGTGATTCTGGGTTTCCGGTCCGGTCCGGGTAAAAACCGGAATGGACCGGAAAATGTATTTTTTTTTATTTTTTGGGTGAAAATTTTTAATTTTATGTTTAAATTTCTAAAAAATAGGTACAAAACTTATAAAGTCTAGGTGTAAAATAGAAAAGCACGCAAACAAAAAACAAGACGTCATAAAATGATGTATATAAAGATATTAAAATGCAAAAAAAAGAAAAGAAAAGAATATAACCGGTCCAAAACCAAACCGGATCGGAATAAACAGGTCTAGACCGAAACCCGGACCGGTTGATTACGGTCTGATCTACGGTCCGCACAAACAGGTGATTCCGGGTTCCGGTCCATTTCGGTCCGATTTTGGACCGGTGCACAGCCCTACACACAATACAATGAGGTCTACTCATGCGCAGTAGATATAATTAAAAAAATAAATAAATAAATGACCTACACATCGACTAAGATCTTATGACAGGTTATACCTAAAATAAATTAATAATTGAAAAAATTTAAATACCCTATGGGTTGAGCTCATGGATCAAACTGTGATGTTTACCTACCATTTTATTAAACTGAATTATTGTATTCACAAATGCTTAGTTAACCTATTACTCTGTATTACGGAGTACTTATTAGGCCTGAATCCATTATTATTATTATTATTATTATTATTATTATTATTATTATTATTATTATTATTATTATTATTATTATTATTTTCTCAATAAAATGTAATTGATTTTGTAATTTCTCAGAGCCCTCTTCCTACAAATATCATTGTCCTTCATTTCTTCCTCTATTTAAAAGTCAAGCATGTTTTCAATTAGGATATTTTTTATTTTAACACCTGACAAAAATCTGAAAATGGGTTTTAACATCCGCCAAAAAACAAAAACGTATTTTAACACCAAACAAATGTTACAAAAAAGGTTTTTACCACCACTTAACGGTCTCCGTCCAAAAATTCCGTTAAGTGGGGTCCACAGTGACACGTTTCACCATTTTACTTGTTTTCAAAAAATAAAAATTTAAAAAAAAAAAAGAAAA